GAGGGGGGTCTGGGGGGCAGCCGGGGCTGGGGGCAGCTCTGTGCTGGGGGGGTCCAGGGCATCGAGGAGCTGCTCCTTCCTAGGGGTGCCTGGACAGGCCTCAGGCACGGAGCCCCCGGAGCAGGGAGGGACCCTCGGGAGCTTCCCGGCTCTCCCGTGGAAAGGGGGGGTCTGGGGGTGCAGGCACCGGCCGTGCTGGGCCGCAGCACCGGTTTGGCACTGGGGAGGGGGCCCTGCCTGTCCTGCAGCCCCCCAGAACCCGAGACCACCTCCTCTCCCCCCCTGAGCTTTTTGGGGGCCGCACATTCCTGAGCGTTCTCCTTCCCTGGGCATTTCCATGGGGGCTTCTCGTGGCGCCCGGGGGGCACCGGGGCAGCGCCAGCCCCCACGGGCACCTCGGGACCCTCCAGCTCCCTGCAGGCAGCCAGGAAAAGGGCATTGTCCCGCTCGTCCCGGGGGGCTGCCCCCCGCCATGGGGGTCCCTGGAATCCCAGGGGATGCTCGCCCTGCCCGGCGAGGGGCCGGAGGGTGGGGGCTTTACTGGGATGGGATTTACTGGGATGGGCTTCACTGGGATGGGCTTTACTGGGATGGGCTTTACTGGGAGGAACCGGGACCACGCTGGGTGAGGAATGCCCGGGGGTCACAAACTGGTTCTCTGCATCTTCCACAGCGGAGAGGAAATCCTGTGGGAAATAAACACTGGGAATGGGAACGGCTCCGAAGCCCCCCAGGGCCGAGCAGCTCGGCCGGCCCGGGCACCTCGCGGGGGTCTCGGCTATCGGGGGTCCCTCACCTCGTCCTCCAGCTCCCCGTCGGTCCCAAAAAGCTTCTGGAAGTGGCAGGACTGTGGGAAAATGGGGAAGGATGGGGCAGGGAGGGACACAGCGGGCTGGGGGCCCGGGGTGCTCCCGCAGGTCTCGGCCGCTCGGCAGCCCCGGGAGGGCCTCACACGGCGCCGAGGGGACCCCGGATCGGCCTCCCCCTCACCGCACAGATCCCTTTGTGG